GCGGTTGGTCAGTGGTAATTGCCATGAGCCGGAGGAACCAATTGGCGTCAGCAAACATGAAAATCCGCCATGTTTTTCCGGACACTCGTTTGACTGACGGATAGATAGGAGCACGTCCTCCAGTAATATTATAGCTCAGTGCGTCTTTCAGAGGACGTCTTTCTTCCCGCCAAACTTGACACAAGAACTAAAGAACCAATGAAATCGCTTCTTTTTTCAAAGGTATGTTATAAACAAGCATGGCCATTTTTAATAATTTCACTCAAACCGATTAAATGCTTTATATAAAACGATAAAACTCGTCTTTAATATAACATTTGAACTACCTTACAACAATATCTTAAAACTAATACAATTTTCAATGCTTTATCACTATTAAAACTGTCTTTAAATATGTCTTAAAAAGACACTTCAAAGATTCAAACATCGTTTGCTACATAAATATTTGGCTTTTAAATTAAACTTTCCAAGTGACAAAAACGTCGACAATGTCCTTCCCAATTGCATAAAAACAATAAATATTTAAAAATATCTTTCGCTTAATAGTCGAGCATAGCATAGCATCCTTTTGTCCGACCATTGAACAGTCAGTCCTGCAAGAAATGAAAAAATGTAGTTAAAACATTTTAAAATTCATTCCATAAACAATGTGTCATATTCATTTATCGAGAAAAAAGGTTAGAAACATCGCTCGGAAACGCATGAACATCCTCTTGAGTACCTTTATTTTTGTGTTAGCCACGTATTCCGTGGGCAGTTTGTTCCGAAACTCTTGCTTGAGCTTGCATAATCCGTCTTCTTTGGTCGACCAAGTCGCAAAGTGGACATGTGCAATTTCGAAATGGACATGAAAGTTTGTGGCCTTTTAAATGCACCCATACGCCGTGAGCTCTGCATCTAGAACAGTGTCGTTGACCTGGCATCTTTGATTGTTGTTTAAATTTGTTCTGAGAAAGTTTTGTTGAGCTGAATCTGACTTTTGGAAACTTTTTGATTTTTTTTGCTTTTGGAAATTCTTTCGAAGTTAATTTGTGAACCACGTGAGAAAGTTTCAGGCTGCAGGGGGATTCAGGCCAGTCAGGCGTGCGGGTTGTGTCCTATGAATTGCAGGAAATATGCATAATTTCCGTGATTGAAGGCACTTCACCCATGTAGCCAAAACATCTGCCATCAGGGGGGTGAGGAATAGAGCGTTGGTGCATATTAAGAATGTTTCCTTCACCGAATATGTTTTAGATACAAAATGTTGAAAAAGATGTGACAACATGTTGCCGAATGTTGAACATTGATACAATTTTTCAGATCAAATTTTATGTTTGAACACCATTATAGTCAAACAAATTTAATCCGTCACCCACCTGATTATTCTGCATTGGCAGCACGAAGGTCGCCTTGGTACATACCGGCGCAATAAGCCGAGAAACAACGGAAGCAAGGAAGAATTCAACGAATGATTTATGATTCTTATAGTTCTGCGGAATTTCAGCCGCTATGATAACTTCAAGAGCCTAATCACAATACAATAATAATGCAATAATCATTAAAATTAAAGTTGTTGTTTGCAATGCTGCCAACGCACATAACAAGGAAATTCCTTTATCCTGTGATATATAATTAATTTAACTTTTTTATCTACAGATTGAAAAGAACCAAACAAATTCAGACATGAAAAAGCAAATGCCCGTTTTAATGAGTCTTTAGAGTCTAGACTGTTCAAAACAATAATCAACATTTAGTCCATGGACAGTTTCCCCAGCAAAAGTTGTGTAAATTGCTGTTTGCCCACGTCAAAATAGCGGAAGAAATATCAAATATACGTCATTCACTTAAAAGAACTTTCACACAAGAGGGACTATTTTTAAAAGAAGTCTAAGCGATAACAGCTAATGACTTTGTTCTTTTTTTCACCGGGCATTAAAAATGTTAATTGTTCACCGTGGAGATTAGTGATTCGCAGTAGGCGTAAAGGAAAACAACTCGAACTCGCTGCTTTCATCAACTGCGTTCTACTGTAGTCGCTCCCGTTCATTATTTACAACGTTTATCTCCAGAAATCGTAGCAACTGACAGACAATATTATTTGTAAAGGTGGAAAAAACGCGAACACACGCTGAGCACACATTAGGAGACAAAATTCTTGCTGGTTACAACATAGCGTGTAAATTATACGTTTGACATCTGCCTTCGCAAAGCCGGTAGGACTCTGAGCAAGGTAAAGTTAAAATTGTCGTAATTTTACTTATTACTATAGTAAAATTGATAATAATAAACAAAGAGAGTTTAGATTAGATTATTTAAGTTCAAAATATTTTGATTATAACTTTAGTACTGTGGAATCTAGAAAAGGAATATGTAATTATATTAAAATTGACAACAAAATTATTTGCCCCATGCACTTTCGAGTCGAAATTCCATAATTTAATAGTGGCAAATGCAAATATGCAATTAGATCAGAATATTTTTAAGAGTAAAAGTGTACGTTTCCCAAAGAAAGTTACTAAGGCTAGCTCATGATTAAGGGGAAATTAACTGACAAAGCTTGCTGTTTTGCGACCGAAGTCGATTTGTTCAGGATCACTGGTTTTATTATGAGGCAACTCGGCAGGTATTCATCGCAGACATATATGCTATATACGATTATAATAGATATATAAATTGAACGTAATAAAATTATTCTTTGTTGTCTTTCTTAGAGATGTTTGTCAACTATTTTGTTTTTAACAGTTTGTCTGTATAAATAATTATGCGCTGCAGCGACAATTTACGATATGCATGCACGATTGATGCCCATGAGATGACGCCATCATTGTCCGACACTTGACAATTTCAAGATGACTAATGTCTTTTAAACTCGTTTTCAGGCCTAATGTGGGTCAGGTCGCCCACCCTATCATTCTACTCTCATCTTATTCTGGTAAATGTTATCTAGATATTTTCAACCATGGACACTACGATTCTTCTTCTTTTGATCTGCGTGGTGCTAATTGCCATCACCCTAATCCTGGTGATCGGGTTTTGCTGCATGTTACGCGTGTACTTACAGCGGCAACCTACAGTCGACGTCGAGAGGCCCGACAAATACAAATACAGACCTAGCTACAGTCTGGGAACTGTATATACAGACGGCGCTCATGAAAATCTGGGATTTCCTCAGGAGACGAAAGACACCGAAGTGGAAGCAAAGAAAACAGATGGGAATAAAAATGAAGCCATTAAAACGTGATGAAGGGAATTTAGTGGAAACAGTAGCAGGAAATATCGGCGGAGAGTTTTGGACATAGCTCTGGCGAAACATTCCAAATTGATGGATCGTAACATAATCCCGTGTAACATAGTCAACTAACGTAATCTCTCCTTCACAGAGGCGTTGAGAGGATTAACATTCCAATTACTCTATGGACTTTTCATTCCAATTTAACATAATCAGCTAACGGACGTTTGTCACCCGAATCAATCACATACACAATTCAAATACGTGTTTATCCTTTGCTCCATTCTACGCGTGCTTTAAATAGTACATGGTCATCGACTAGGCATGATACGAATAATCTGAGAATGTGAACTAAGTGCCAATGGAAATGTGATTTGGAAGTTTTGTATAGGACAACTTCGTTTGCATAGACTTTACTATGACTAGAAATTTTTTTTCATGGACTGGAAAATGTATAATTTAACCTATTTCAGTGTGTATAATAATGTACAAAGTATCATTTTGTGTATGATAAAAACGAAAATATATATTTTGTAAAGCTTTTTGTAAAACAGATTTTGTAAAACAAAATTGTGTCGGACTTGTTGGAACAACTTTGCAACAAGCCGGATAATGCCATCAAACTTGTTACAAGTTGTCAACAGCTTGTTCGAAACTTAATGTTGACAACTTGCGACAAGCAATGTGAACACAACTTGTTGACGGCTTGTTCGCAAACTTAGGCCTGTTTCAAACGTCGCGCTTCTCAGGTTAAAATACCCCGGTTCCGGTTTACGGGTACGAGTATCGCCATTTTGTTTACCAATTTTTGTTGATGTCAGAATTTTACCCGTAATTTCTACCCGTTTCCCCGCGGTAAACCATGGTCTACACGTAAACGACAAACGGGGGTACGGGTGTTTTCTGTTTACTATTTTTGGGCCGTTTAAATAGCACAAATTTTCAACATCTTACCCAAATAAATAATGCACATATGCTGGTCAAAGTTTTCAACAATTTATGGCGAACCTCAACACCGAAAGTTGCCGGCATTCTCTGATCGGTTTTCTCACGCCGGAGTATCTTCACCCGTACCCGTAAACCAGAATCGGGGTATCTTAACCTCTCTAATAGGTAATCAGCTGAAATGCCTCATTATCTATTCAAGGTTTCTAATGCGTTCGGCATGCACATGAGAAGCGCGACGTTTGAAACAGATGCGAGATTTTTGCGTGTATACCTTGCTGTCAGGAAAATATTTTTTTGTGAAAGCTATAAGTAATAAGTATAGACTAAAGTGATACTGGGTAAATTTTATCAAGATATAAATTACACTCATGATATATTACATTCAATTTTACTACAAAGTGCTTCCTGAAACCAATCCATTTTCATCCAGTGGGTTGCCCGAATGTGTTGAATGTAACTGTTCCTCTTCTCCGCATTCAGCCTGATCACCAAGCATGACATTCATTTGTTCTGCTCGTCGTTTCGATGAAAGTGTTATAATACCGAGCAGAATCACGATGCACAGAAAAACAAGAAATGCAAGACAGAATATTACAATTGAAAACGCCTTGAAATCCGCCATCTTGCTCTGGGTGTAATATATGCACAGCAAAGTTTCACAACTAAATAATTCAAATGAAAAATATTGATCACGGCAATATGTTGTGTAAAGGATATACAAAAGAAATGTCGGTTTAGGTATTGTCCCACCATATATGCTAAATTACTCAGTTCCAGATATATCAGTCGCGTATAGCCGACATACAACCGCAGAAATTATATGGACATTTCTCTACCTTGGAGATTCCAGTCAAAGCTATCGGCTCACTCAAAGTGATTTCTGTCGGGCAGTATGGACACATTATACTAAATTTTAAACTATGAACTATTGTACTTGATGAATATATGTTAGTATGTTAAAAAAATGTAACTCACGTTATTTGTAGAGGGCCTCCATTGTTATTGATACCATGCATGCATGCAGTGTTGTTATACTGAAGGGCTTACCCTACCGAAATAAAGCTATCTATCTATAACTTCAACGTTTACGAGGGCCTCGAAAGTCGAAACGTCGATGTTCTGTTTAGATGTGGGTTATAGCTGCACGCATTACGGCATTGCTCAACGCTTCAGAAATATTGATGCTTATAAGCATTTACGAAGCAAAGAAAATTTATCCAAATTTAAATCTCTACTGCAGGATACCCAACCAAAACCTGGTTTCCATATGGTCGTAAAGATTGAGTCACGATCTTTCTCAACAGCTGCATGAAATACAACAGTTTAACACTGATAATAGACAGAGTGATTATAAATAGAGAATAATTGTGATTTATATGTGGTTTAGAGGTATAAAGGTGATAAAGTGATTTACATTATATAGGAAATTTACAGGTATATAAAGTGGTTTACATTATATAGGAAAGCAGTGTATGGTAGGCAGTGTATACCATGTACTATTGCACTCATGTATAGCCACGAACATAGATCGACAACACTGTTCTTTTACCTCAAAACAACGGCAATAATAATGCAAAGGTTTAGCACTTGAAATGCTTCACACTAGACACAGCTTGTTGACTGTTAAATGAAAGAGTCCTTCCGATCTTCTTGGTGTAATTCTGTGGACTGAAGAACAGCGAACGAAACGGTCTTCGCGAGCAGAGGAGTGGTCGTGATGTTTTTTCAATGATTTTATACCTTGCCTGTCCACACGAGAACGGCTCTTTCCATAAGAGTTAGCATAACAATAGTATCATCCAGTCACGATCCAGTGATAAGAATGCTCCATTGTCTTTTATTACAGCGAAGATTCCACTGTTCTCCATGATATCCAGTCACTCATTGTTCTGTCAAGATACGACGGTCTGAAAACTAAATGACTTATGTTAGGGGCGGGCATTAGAAATCCCGGGAGGGGGTATAAAATTATTGCGGCACGAATTTTTTTCAGTCTCATGTCTCTGCACGAATCTTTTTTAATGCATTTAACCTCTGCACGAATTTTTTTTCAAGACTATTTGTACTTTGCTGTTTGCTTGCACGAATTTTTTTTCTCTGACCTAATGGCTGCACGAATTTTTTTCACAGGCATTTTTCTTTGCACGAATTTTTTTTGGGGGAATTTTCACCCCCCCCCCTCCCGAGATTTCTAATGGTCCGCCCCTTACTTTGTGTACAGTCACGGTGATTGAGATCATTGTATTTTTCTATAATTAAGTAACCATCCAATCAGGGGTGGATCCAGCAAGTTTTTTCTAGGGGGTGCTGGGTGAGCAGCCGAGTGTTTCTTTATAATTCTTTAGGGGGTGGTGGGAGAGCATTCAAATGAATTGGCTTCCTAACGACTCGAGCGCTGAATGCACGAGCTCACTATATAGGGGGTGTAGGGTATGCTACCGGAAAATTTTGAAAATTAGAACCCTAGAAATGCCATTTCCTGCGATATGGGCATTGAATTATGAGCTTCAGTTTGACTTCAAAAAAAGAAAACCTTTGGAAATTATGCCATATTTCTGAATTTGATTTTTTTGCACCCCCCCCCCCTTGCACCCCTGTTGACCAAGGCCAACAGGGGTGCGCACCCCTGTTAACCCCCTTATAAATCCATTCCTGCATCCAAAATGATAGCGGAGATGAAACGTGCAACCACAATGGATAATATTTGATGAAGTTAAGACAAAGGATTTGTGCACGGTGAGGCGCAGTTCAACATCAAACAAAGGTCTTCTATTTTGTGGCTTTGACGTTTGCCAGACTAATGCATGATGCAGGAGCAATGCAAAACGGAATATTCCATAAATGCTAAAATAAGTTGAAATAAATGTGACAGGATGGCATGTGAGAACAGTGAGATTTTCAAAACAATGAAAAGACAGTGGAACATTCTGATCACTGGATCATGGCTGGATGGCATGGAGAACAGTGAGATTTTCAAAACAATGAAAAGACAGTGGAACATTCTGACCACTGGATCATGACTGGATGGCATGGAGAACAGCGAGATTTTCAAAACAATGAAAAGACAATAGAACATTCCGACCACTGGATCATGACTAAATGGCATGGAGAACAGTGGGATTTTCAAAACAATGAAAAGACAATGGAACATTGCGATCACTAGATCGTGACCGAATGACATGGAGAACGAGATTTTCAAAACAACTAATAAGAACGAGGAAATGCAGTATTGTTATCGTTATATGCTTAGTTTTGGGATCGCGGCCAGTTTTATGTTAAATTCAATGAAGATCATTATTAATTAAGAACACAAGATCAATTTATTGAAATGCCTAACTGCAACAAATTAAATAGAAATAATTGTAAATCTGTAATACATCAAATATAAATAACTGTAGTCTGTAATATATTAAATATAAATAACTGTAATATATCAAATAGAAACACTCACACTGCTTTGAGACTACTAATATCGAACGTCAAATCTAACCTATTATCTTTAATACTTTGAGCTTTCAACGAACTCACAAAATAAATAGTTCTAGGTGGCAAGCTTAGAAACATTGGTAAATCTGTAGATGTTCTAATATTACTTGAACTAGTAATCGTAATATTAAATGCACGTACTCTGCATATATTAGCTATCTCATATACCCCTACTTTAGGTGTATTATCGCCTGATATTTCCCGCTGAATTTGAACTATACACGAATTTAAAGGGCGTTGAGTTACCTTCGAATTTGCACCAACTATTTTCTGAACTGAAATTGGCTCATACGCCGCTGACATTTTATTGCAGATGCACAAGGTAAGCGGTACATCCTGGTCAGCGCACTTTTCGTGAGGTTCATATTTGGAAATCCGATTAAAAGACAACAATTTCATCTTAAGGGAGCTCGGGGTAGTTTCGAGCGTAGATTCAATTTGTACCGTCATCAGTTCCTCTTGGTCAACTATAGTCCCCGATTGCACTGTAATATCCATAGAAGTCACCACGAGTCCATCAGATTTCGATTCTTGTACGATATTTTCTACTTTTTGTATACGTAACCGCTGACATGAACCGAAAAGCACAGGTGACCCATTAGAAAAATTTGAATTTTTTTCTGAGCCACGTGTTTTGAATAGCGAGTTTTGTATTTTGTTGTTTAACTCGCCAACAGCAAATTCTGAAAGAATAAACTGCTCAGCCTCGTCTAACTTGGCAAATTTACGTGCTCTACAGATACATATAGCTTCCTTAGTCAAAGATAAATCTCCACAAATCCTATTCTTAGATATATATCCAAACAAGCCTGCCGGATCTAAGCCGGACTTTCCATCATACTTAGCGAGAGCGACCAAACTTTTGCGAATGTCGAACATGTTAAAAAGTCGATGTTGATTCTTAGCTAAATTTTGTACCACATCATTTCCAAATTTTTGTGCTAGGTTTTTTGGCAAAATAACCAACATCATCGGATGATACATTTCTTGTCTTCCTTCGAGAAACTTAACCTGATACGACGTGTAAGTATTACCATGGTCTGCAAATATGAATGAAATTGTATCATCCCTCGTTGATAAGGTTTGAATAAATTTCCTCAAATGTTTGTCAACACTCTGAACTCGCAAACCGATTTCGTCATGAGAAACATGAGTTGTGGCATACGAGAACAGCGGCTTGCTCTGTGGTGAGGTGTTGATGGTATCAATGTAGTGTACTAGGTAATCAAAGAGGTATTCATGCTGGTGTTTGCCATTGAAACATAACTGGTGTTCCTTGTTGTCAGAAAATGGTAAAGTGTGCCTGCCTTTGTCCGTCAGAATCTTGCAGGCAGCTTCTGTTATACCTTAAAGCAAAAGGAATATATTTATTTATGTTTTTGGAGAGTCTTGAATTGAATTGAATTTTCCACGCGATAATTATTTACAGTCACACAAGATTATGGAAATATATAGTGGTGAGGTAACCTCGAAAAAACCGTTGGGCTTATGAGTCGAAGTCACCTTCATTATATAATAATACTAGTTTATTAGCCTTATATAGTAATATTGGGTATTACACAAAATTCAATTTAGATAAAAAATATATTAGAGATTTCATCATTTTCATCATAAATTTTTCATCATAAATTTCATCATATTTTTCTTAAAAGTAAATAAGCTACCCGAGTTTCTAAAATTAGACGATAGTGAATTCTATATTATTGGGCCACGATAAAGTATAGTAATTTTTTTTAGATTAGTACAATAAGCGTGAGGCCGATAATTATTTGCTGATCTGGTACTGTAACTATGCATCTGATTGTTACATTGGAACAGATCATGTAACACAGGTGGTAAAATTTCATTATGATAACAAACGCAATTTCCGAGAGACTGCCATGTTCTTACTACCTCTGCTAGGAGGTCATGTTTTCAATCTGCAAGGCCGGATTGTAATGGAAATAGTGGGGGAGGTGGAAAAATATTTAGGGGAGGTGCAGCAGTCTAGCTTACGACCGCCATGGAAAGTTAGGGCTTAGAGTTAGAACGGGCCAAAATCAACGACGTGATGTATGCATGTAGTGTACATATGTATCAGTGTATTAATGAATTATGACTGTATAACTCATCCAATTTTGCCCTTCAATACAATCAGTACAAAGTTTCCTTCAAAACATTGCATTAAAAGGGTACTTGATACAGAGATGAATGGCTATCACTGTTTCAATTTTACAGAAAAAAACTTTCTTCGTACCCTAAGCAACCAAAAAACGTTCCTACCCTAAGCAACCAAAAATGTCAACTATTCACCTCGATCTATTATTGAAACTTTCCTAAGGGCTAAGGGAAGGTACATGACTTTTCAGGGGAGATGCAAAATTGGTTGCGGAATGTTGTAAAATGCGGAAAATATAGCCTTGCAATGTTCGCAAATTTTGTATAATTGCTACCATTTTCGGCACAAAAGTATACAAAATTTGCAAACTTTGCAAGGCTATATCTTCTGCATTTTACAACATTTCGCAACCAAACTTTGCAATGTTACTCATTTTAGTATGCTCTTTCTAGCTGTGGTGATTTATTTGCATCTCCTTGCCTAGTTTTAAAATTAGTCTATAATGGATGGGAATGGTCTATTGTCGCACCCTGCCTCTTGTTACCTCTAGTATCAATATTCTCAGCCTTCGTCTTTTTCAGCAACGTTTTCCAACTCCATGACTTCACTTTAGCAACCATACCATATGTAGCCTTCCAACACAAGTCATCCAAGAACATTGTCTGATATCCAGCCTCTTTGAACACTCCATACAATACATGCAGGTCAACGGGTTTTGCTTTTTTTTGCTTTGAGGTCCATTCTTCCGGGTACAAAGTGCCGCTAAAGAGCGCATGCTCAATTTCATGGGTATGCCCGTGTACAGCTTGAAAAAGTTCATACTCAAAAACATGGGCGGGAAAACTTGGGTCGGCATTCTTCTCTTGCAAAAAATTTATGGTGTTTGGTAAAGAACGATAAAAATGCGCTCTCGAGAGTGAATCAAGAAGAACAACATTCACATTGACTTTATCTTTTTGTGTTTTGTTCGTCAAGAGGGGCAGAGCGGGCAAAAACGTTAATAACTGAGATATCTTGACTCCGGTGAACAGTCCAGTGCAATTTAGGAATAAAAAATTGAGATCAGCTACACGAGATATTTTTAGATATTTCAGAACCAAATTCTCGACCGTTGAATCATTTGCACCCATAGGGATATCATATTTAATCATTTTCCCATCCTTTGGGTTCATAACTTCAATATACATGGGTTTGCTTAGATCGCATAATGACATATCGCAAAGGATTTTGAGCGATGTGAAAGAGTGATTTGATGATCTGGGCTTTTTCTCCGAGATGGTACAAAGATCGTACGGTAGCTCCGGGCACTCTAGAAGCGACGGATAAGGGGCGTATGCATTAGCAGTATACTCACAAGCCTTGTCTGACTGTATATGTGGAAGGCAGGCGGTGTTTTCTTGGGAGAGCGTGGTAGAATTCGCGGGCTGGATAGACATTTTAGGACAGGCACTCTTGTCGCCCGAGCGCGGGTCACGAGATACGATGTATTTGAGTAAGGCGGTGAACGAGAATTCTGGAGAAATGGTGACGAATATTCCATTAAACAGAATCAAGACTAAGGCAAGGCATACTAAAGTTCTTTGGAAAGACGAGTTCCGTAGTCGTTTCAGCATGATTTTACCAAATGTACAGTTTTCTGATTTTAACTAAGTTCATTGCCTAAAAACAGAAAATAGATTTTAATAAGTGCAAGACGTAGGACGGTTGTTTGAAAGACGCCAATTACACACGGTAAAAGTCTCACAACTTGTCAACAGGATGTGTTCGCAACAGGCTTGTAGCAAACTTGTCAACAAGTCGTAACAATGCTGTCATTTTATCAAGTTACTACAAGCTTGTCACTCACAACTTGTTGACAAATTGTTGAATTGCAGGACGATAACAAGTTGTTGGAACAACTTTTAACAAAGTTTGTTGAGCTCAACAACCTTGTAGCAGTTGTCAACAAGCCGTTGACAACTTTTCAACAAGCTGGGAACAAGCAGTGCGAACACATCCTGTTGACAAGTTGTTGGAACAGCATTGCTACAAGTCTGCTGCAGGTTTGTTACAACTTGTGCGTTTTTACGTGTGT